ATTCATACCCCTACCATTAATAAACTTATTGAGTGTACCCCTCAATTGGATGAAAATCCCCAAATCAACTAAAATTATTCAATTTCTTTTCTTTATACGAATCTGATCCACTTAATCAAATGAATTCATACCAAATTAAATCCCCAAACCCATCTCTTTATTATTCTTCATCTCCTTCCTCTATTGAAACACTTATGAATCTTCATTATCTCCTTATGTCCATCTCTGCATAAATCATGGTTTAGCAAAGAATAACGAATTAACACAGAAGTTTTGGAGAGAAGTCAGATTGTGTACATGGGGTAGTGGTACATTTGTTGATGGAGTTCTTCGTTTGTTTCGTCGTCATCACACCAATGAGGATGCGATCTTGACTCAACCCCACAATTCTGCATAATGTGAAAACCATGGTAAGTTTCGTCAGTCACCTGTCATCTTCTCTAGTACTAGCTATGGAAGGCTCATTTTTAAGGTGAAGTATAGATATAATGCTCACATAGGGAAGCCTGAAATAGTTGTGCCCATTTGAGAGTACTTACAAGATAAATAGGTGTCACACCCCGAGCCTACACCCTGAACATGGTTGGCATTCGGAAATTATTGTTGGTCCCAAGATAACACTTGGTCCGACTTACTACTTAGCGGAAGATTAAAACATGCATACAGAAACTTAAAACTAATGAGCATTTAAAGAATAAACTGAGTTGTCTGAAAATACTGAGTATAAATGACAAAAAGTTTGTTAAAATATCTGAAAAGAAACTGAAATGCCTCTCTGACTCTGTCTATCTATGAAGCCTCTACTTTCTAAACATACCACGACAACCTACAAACAACTACTAAGAAATAAAACTGGAGTCATCCACAATCAACGCGGCCTTACCAAAAGAAGACGAGTGGATGTTGTGATCACAACGAAGCACATGTTGATGTTCCTAATTACATGTGTCTACATCATAAAACTATGAAGTGTCGAATGATGTCAGTACATGGAATGTACATTATGTAATAAAGATGAAGGAAATAGATAGTTGAACTGAATGAAAGATAAATAAGTCAACTGAAGTAAAGCGTGAATATGAATGAAATAATTAAAAAGCTTTACAATAGGCATGCAATGATAGTAAATACTGAAATAATCTACTTTACTTTTTGCGGGAGTTTCTCTAACCGACAACCAGCACTATAAGCGTTGTGATAATACAACATCTTTCCCACATTGTTAGAACCCTCCTATACCTTGCCTGGTATAGGACGCAAGTTAACTTATGAATCTACTAAAAGCTTTCTTGAAGCTGGTAAGGAGTCATCTGAATTTCGATATGATCCTATCTATGTTGGTGACACATTTTATGGGATTTGAGTTGTATTAACTCTTACCCAAATCGGTGCTGAATACTACTCCTAAAATATACGTATTAATTTTCATATAATAATACTCACTGGGTCGAGTTAATATTCAAAAGACCCTTTCAGAGAAAAACTGATCTTTACTTTACTTAATGAAACTTCTTTTAAAACTATTTATGCTTTTATTAAATTGGGAATACTTTTCGTAATACAAAATGGTGAATTTTAAATCATTAGTGCTCCCTAAAAAAAACTCTTCTCAACTGTTCTTACATACCTGGAAGAAAAAAGTTCTTGAAGAAACTTGAAGAAGATGCTTGAAAACCCTAGCTTCTTCCTTACTTAAAGTGATTTATGGATTTGAGGGAGTTAAAACTATATGAACTAAGTCTTAAGCTTGAAAATCCTTTTAGGCTATGCGTAATATCTTGACTTAGACTTAGGAAATCTGAGAAAATAAAAAAGAAACCCTAACAAAAAAAACTGTTGGAAACGTTCCACGAGGCCATCTACTGTCTGTGGTTTGATCTACGGGTCGTAGATCCCATTCGTGGAAGTTAGACCGAAATTTGAGTTTATGAAGTACCACCTATGGGCCCAAATTACGGCTAGTAACTGGGTTTACAATCCGTAATTAGATCCGTGGAAATCAAACTTAAAAACTTGATTCAAAACTTCATTCTACAGGCCTAAATTACGGTCGGTAGATGCCTCAATGACCCGTAACTGGGTCCGTAAGAATTGGACCCAAAAAATGATTTTCATAACTTAATTGAGAAACGCTTCACATCATAATCAACATTATTATCGTGAGAAACTACATTAATCAAGAAGGAAATTGCAGTTGGTGTGCATTAATGTCATATTCATAACCTTCAAATATGAAGAAATTTGAGCCATGAGGTATATTTCCAGAGCTTACATCAAATAAATATGAAAGTCTTTTACAATATAGCTACTTATGGCTAAAGCTAATAAATTTTTTAATGAATTAATTTGATTTTTCAGGTCAATAACTTTGTTTGCATTTCAGAAAAAATTTACACTCCTGATCAGGTGTTAATCGTAGAGAACAAGTTTTTTAGACAATTGGAATGGTACCTCATAATCCCAACACCTTATGCGTTCCTCGTACGTTTCATTTCAAACGCGTTTGATAATGATTTTTTTCACTTTTAAAAAAAAGTTGAACTACGAAAAACATATTTACATGTTTTTTAAATATTTTATTTTATTTATTGTTAATTGTGTTTAAAAAAATTGATATCATATACTAATAACTTTAACATAGCTTTAGGGAGTGGAATATGATGGTGGATCTACTTTCAAAGGAAGACTTAGAAGAATATTTTTTGAAGCATAGTTAGACATTACTTTTATTAGAGATTTTTATTTTTTTTTACTTTGACTTGTAATAGTAACTTAACTACACATATTGACAGCATTGCTAATTTAGTGCTCTATGATCTTGAGTACTTTTTATTATAAAGCATAATTAATATAACTATCTTATTTCAATCAAAAGAATTATGAGAATAAGTTCTATTTAATTTTCTCTCAAAAATTAAAGATGAAATAAATTATTATGTGTATCATTGCATATTTACACATCTAACAATTTGTTTTTGTCGCCATTTTTTCTTGCTTGAAATGTATTTAGAAGTTTCTTTTTTATTACTTTGTGAATATAATAATGTAGGTTTTTTTTATATGTCTTAGCTACATAATTATGAAAATCTATGTCTATATATTATTTAATTGTGGTCTTTGAGATGGTAATATGGCATGTCTCTTATGCAATCAAGTTATTTATCTTTTTTCTTCTTTTTGTGATTTTTACCCTTATATTTTTCAGTCATTTATTTATTTTTACAAATAAAATCAATGCATAATGATTAATGTATTTAATGTCATAATAATATTATTTATTAAAGTTTTGATAACACATGTCTCTTATCTTCTTTATAACTTCTACTCTTAAATATTATTGATAACTCATGTTTGTTTCATTTTTATAATTTTTTAAAAATATTTTTTTAATATGTAAATAGTAAACAAATGTAAATGTGGTAATAAAGACATAACGTAGAAGTTAAAAAGAAAATTAATACCAAAATTGGTGTTTTCATAAATGATCAAGTACTCAAAAGATAAGTAAGATTTAAATATTCATAAGAGAAATTGATAAAAGTAAAGAGTAGGAATGTAGCCTAATATTGAAGAAATAATTTTTCAAGTCGCCGTTCTTTAAAAGTAAAAAAAAGAATAATTAAAATAATAAAATTCGAGTCTATTTATAGTTGGAGAAAAGTCGGTAGAAAATTTGACCTTATTGGGTCCACGACGCGCAGGTGCATTGTAAATTCAACTTTAACGAACTTCTCTTCTCCGCGACGTAGAGAGGATATGTAGTCCTCCACCTCAACATCATTAGTTTGAACAAATAATTAGTTCCCTCTCTGCGTCACAGAGAGGATACAGAGCACTGGATTTTTTTCACTTTAACTTCCTTTTCTCCTTTGTCCTTTGCGCCTTAGTGATCAGATCCACTTCTACTTCTTGTGCTTCCATTTTTTTTTGTACCTTTTCCTCCTACTTCCCAACCTACAGTCACTAATCAGATCGGTTATTCATAATGAAATAACATGACTCAAACACTATCATTAACACAAGAATTTGTCATCAAACTTGGTCAAAGTATGAGTGTTATTTGGCTCCTAGACATGTAAATATGCCCAAGATCACTTTTGTTTGTCATCTAATTGATCACCTTCGTGATTTACAATTATAAGCTTCCGATTGACGGCCCTGATTACTTTTCAACCCAACACAAATTTGGTTATGTGTAGTGTTGGGGCACTCATTTGACAGTACGTACAAGATAAATATGCATACCACACACAATGTAAAGCTTAATCTTATTTTAGAAATAAAGTTTGATATACTTTTAACATTTTTTTTAAAATTTTCTTAACACTATATATATGATATTTATTTTAACAACAATTATTATTCCTTCCGTCTTATATTTGTTAATCATTTACATTTTTATTCTGATTGATTGGTTGATTCAAATTCACCACAAGTTTGAACTGATTAAATATATATATGGTGTTATCACTTGACTCACTGTAGGTCCGCCCCTGATTCTGATTGATTGATTGATTCAAATTCACCACAAATTTGGACTTAATTGAGGAACACTTCACATCACAATCAATATTATTATGAATACTTTTTGGGAATTTACAAACAAATATGAACACTTTTAAAAAGAACTAGTCTCAAAGGTAATAAAAAATAAATTTAATTAATATTTTTTTAATTTAGTAAGATAAAATAACTAATAAGAGTCAGATATTTTTAATACTTTTATTTATTCCACTTGAACCTAATTTTTATTAAGATACGATAGAAATTGTGAATTTGACCCACAACGTTCAATTTTCAAAGAAGCTAATCGGCCGAGAGAGAGTTGCTCGGATGGTAAGCACCTCTCAGTTCCAACCAGAAGGTTGCAAGTTCGAGTAAGGGAGCAAAGGGGTTGGGAGCTCATAGGGATGGTAACAAAAAAACTAATCGTACAAGTATTTTAGCTTATGTACAACCACTCACAGCCTATTCTTCTTCTCTTCCTTCTTTCAGTATATATACTCACTCCTCCTTCTATGGAGGCATCAAGAACAAGAACAAGAACAATGGGGGTTTTCTCTATTCTTCTCTTCCTCCTCTTTCTATGGAGGTTTCAATCTCCTCTCATCTCCTTCTTCCCTATCTTTCAATCTACCCACGAACCCCAACACAATTGTATACGGAATCCTCACTAAATTCAACCTTCCTCAAGGGCTTTTACCGATGATGGAACATTTGAAGTTTTACTGGTTATGTAGAGTTCGAATATTTGGTTTATTACGCTGAGAAGGTAACTGAGTCTTGGGTCGATTACTGACTTAGAAGGAATTGAAGTTAAGAGATTCTTGGTGTGGTTAAATGTGAATGAGATCCTTGAAGCTAAGTTTCATTAACAAGAAGCTTGATATCAAACGGTTTGAAACTCTTCATTCTTGTTTGGCCTTGTGTGGAGGAACATCTCTGAGACAGGTGATTTTCACGTTACATTGTATGGCCTTGAAGATATTCTTTATCAAGTTGTATGGTTCTTCTTGTTGATTCATTGTTTTTCTAAAATTGTATTATCAAGTTGTATGGTTCTTCTCTTTAATTAGGGTTAATAATTGTGTAAGGAATTTAAAATTTGTGTGGCAAGATTGTGTATATTGTAAACTAATCACTGGCACCTAAAATGCACAATGAAGCAGAAATTAATATCTGTAAAGGCCAATAAGGAAAAGGTAAAATTGGACTTGAGGGGTTTGTGGAAGCAACGAGGTTGGAAGGAAAGTAACAACAATCTTTACATATGTTAGTTTCATTGTCAAACCATGTCGCTGATTCATTTTCAAGGTTTGGAGGTAATTAGTGTTGTAGTGTCTGGTTAATTTCCTTGTTCAGCTGCATTAATTTGTTCCCCGTGAATGCTCTTGTATTTCCAGTTCTTGCAAGTCTTTGTTCTATTGTAGAGTTGGTTCCACAGCAAGATCAATGAGAAATTGTTTTTACTCATTGTTTCTTGTCTTGTCTCTCTGACTGGCTTTGACAGAGAAATTATTTTTACTCATTCTACTGCTCAAACTTCTTTGCAACAAAAGATAAATAAGGAATAGATAGAATTTGTTATCTGGATGCTTCCCCCTTTTCTAGGTTTTACTCATCGTTTCTGTTTTACTTTCTTAATTAAGAACTTACCTCAACAGAATGCCAATTTTCTGAGAAATTTATTGACAAGTAGTGACATAGGCTGTTTTCCTTAGCTAATGTTAACTAAAGATAAAAATGATGGTAGCCTTCTCAGAGAATTGTTGTTTCCCTTAGCTAATGTTAACTAAAGATAAAAATGATGGTAGCCTTCTCAGAGAATTACTCTCTATCTGGTTGGATGAAGCCATTACTCAACAACATATTATTAAGGTTGGCAAACTTCATTCAACCCCAACACAACTGTTTACTAAATCCTCACAAAATTCAGCCTTCCTCAAGGGCTTTTACCAAGCTCTGTAAAATCTTACTCTCTTTCCGATGATGGAACCTTTCAAGTTTTCTGTAGAAGCCTTGTTATGCGGATTTTGAATATTTGGTTTATTACCCTGACTATTCTTCTCTTCCTCCTCTTTCTATGGGGGTTTCAATGTCCTCCTCCTCCTCCTCTCATCTCCTTCTTCCCTGTCTATCAATCTACCCACGAACCCCAACACAATTGTATACGGAATCCTCACTAAATTCAACCTTCCTCAAGGGCTTTTACCAAGCTCTGTAAAATCTTACTCTCTTTTCGATGATGGAGTTTTACTGGTTATGTGGAGTTTGAATATTTGGTTTATTACGCTGAGTCTTGGGTCGATTACTGATTTAGAAGGAATTGAAGTTAAGAGATTCTTAGTGTGGTTAAATGTGAATGAGATTTGCCATCGTCTGGGAGTAATTAATAAGAAGCTTGAAACTCTTCAGTTTTGCCTTGTGTGGAGGACCATCTCCGAGACAGGTGATTTTTAAGTTCCATCCTGATTGATGCATTGTTTTTCTAAAAATGTATTTAGATAGTATTCTTGATCAAGTTGTCTCAGAGGCATAAACAATATTCTCTGGTCTCGCATATTTTAACATGGTTCTTCTCTTGAGTAATCGTCAATATTGATATTGTTGTGTAAAATGTGAGTAAGCCCTTCATGGAATAAATAATTGTTGTGTCTCTTCAGGTACTTTCGTCTAGATTTAATGACTCTGTTCTCGATAACTGGAAGAAAGAGAAGAGTAAAACTACTGTAAAAGAATCAACTTTGGACCCTGAATTTAATCTAAATAGAGAAAAAGGTAGCTTGAAAAATGCCAAACGTGAAATTGGAACTAAGAAGCGTGTGGATGACAAGGTAAATTACCAATGTTGTGTGTTTTCGCCCGATGAAACAGTAGAAATTGGGTATAATGGGTCAAAGCGATTAGATAGTAGGAAGTATTCTACTTCCCGCAGTACATTAACATCATTACACGAGCGATTGGGAGATGCCGACGCACTTGATGGGAGTTTGATGAAGCTATAGATTTTAAGTGGAACTGATGCAATGGTGAAGCGGGAGGGAGGGAGGAGAGCTTATAGGTTTGATCATGAGGGTTTTAATTCAGGTGACATAGTTTGGGGACATTGTCCTGCTTGGCCGGCAATTGTACTTGATTCAGAAACACAAGCTCCTCAATTTTCGTGTTGCTGGAACAGGATGTGTCATGTTCTTTGGCTACTCTGGAAATGGCACGCAAAGGGTAAAACTTATCTTTTGTGCATTATGCAGACTCCCACTATGCAAAAGTATCCAAGTGATAGAAGTATGAAGTATGGTGTATCTACTAAGATGACACATTTTCATGAGCAGGATTATGCATGGATTAGACGCAGGGTGCTATTTCCATTTATGGAACATGTAGACAGGTTTGTGATAGGGGCAGACTGACTTGAACGACAGCTCTTCTGCTGATCTTCGCTCTGCCACAGAAGAGGCGTTTCTTGCTGAAAATGGTGTTGTTGATATGTTGATGGTTGAAATAAATGCAGCAGTTGGTAATCTAAACCATCTCCGGTCTCTTCCCCAAGGAGTATTCGAGGCCTGTGATTCAAATCAGGACCAAGAGTGTGACTCTCCAAGCCAGGCACGTTTCTGTTGAGTAAATTGTTCTGTATTGTTCCCATAGCAAGATAATGAGAAATTGTTTTCTCCAGATTCTAATATTTACTCATGGACTCTTGGTTTACTCATTGTTTCTTGTCTTGTCTCTCTGACTGGATTTGACAGAGCTACAATTCTACTGCTCAAACTTCTTTGCCACAAAAGATAAATAAGAAATAGGAGAATTTGTTATCTGGATGCTTCCTCCTTTTTTAGGTTTTACTCATCGTTTTAATTTTACTTTTTTAATTCACAACTTGCCTCAACACAATGCCAATTTTCTGTGAAATTTATTGAGAAGAAAGGACAAGTAGCGACACAGGCTGTTTCCCTTAGCTAATGTTAACCAAGGATAAAAATGATGGTAGCCTTCTCAGAGAATTACTTTCTATCTAATTGGAAGAATCCATTACTCAACAACATTATTAAGAAGGTTGGCAAAATTCATTCAAGCTAATTTTGTCTCAAATGATGTTTTGGGATACTGTTGCTTGAAATTTTGGGTAATTGTGGACAGTTAATAGGTGAGCACTTCTATTAATATTAGATATGAAAATCTCTACAACAGGTCATCATACAGTCCTTGAATGTCAGTTGTTGGTGCCTTTATTCACCCGTAAAAGAAGCTGGTTGTTATACTGATGAAGTTACTGTCTTAACTCTTAAGCATATTATTTTCTAATGACCTATCTGAAGAGATTACGGGAAAATGCACAGGATTTAATTGTTTTTCTTGATAAGTTAAATGGTAGGACCCTGAGTCAGGGGGGTGAGAGTATTTACTTTCAAGTTGGGTTTATTAACAAAAAGCTTGATATCAAACCATTTGAAACTCCTCGTTCTTGCCAGAACAATGCTTTGGCCTTGTGTGGAGGACCATATTTGAGACAGGTGATTTTCTAGTTTGATTTATTGTTTTTCTAAAATTGTATTAAGATATACTTGATTAAGTTGTATAAGAGGCATAAACAATCTTTATGAGTTTTTACCATTTATATTCTCTGGTCTCGCATATATCAACATGGTTTTTCTCTTAATATTGATATTGTTATGTATAATATGAGTGAGCCTTGTATGGAATAAATACTTGTGTAAGGGAATTGAAAAATTGTTGTTCCGCATACCAACACTTGCAATAGTCTGGCAAGATTGTCTATATGGTTCTATACTAAGACACTGGCACCTTAAATGCACAAAGAAGCAGCAGATTCCTAGAAGCAGAAATTAAGATCAATAAAGGGCAACAAGGAAAAGGAAAAATTGGACTTGAGGGGTTTGGAAGAGAGGAGGTTGGAAGGAATGCTGTAATGGGGTCCTCTATAGAGGTGCTCTAAACTACTAAAGAAGAAGGGGAAAGGAGAGGGGAATATTTAAGTCTTTTGTTGTTCTGTATCTAATGCTGGTGTTTCTCTGCCGTTTTATTCGAGTTTGTTTCATGACTTCACTTCTCGAATCTGCTTTCTTGAATATCGTTGAGTTTGTGTTATTGCTTAGTATTTGACGTCATATTTTTCCTTCTTCCACCTCTAGTTGGATGAATGAATCAAGACGTCAAAATTTCGAGTTTATTTATTATCTTTACTGCTCGTTTTCATTCCTTTCACTTGGTTATTTTTGCTGAGTCTATTTCGGTGTGTGAGTTTTGTTTCCCTTTTCCAGATTGCAGCTGCTTTGTTTCTAGTTTTTCTCTTCAAGTTTGTTGTATATTGTTTACCCTCTTTGTCTCTTAAGGTGTTATATTTTGGAATATGGGGACACTAGTTTATTGTTTTGGAGCCAGATTCTATGATTTAGTCTTGCATGTTATGCTTTATGTGAGTTTGTATTATCCTCTTCTTGTTATTTTAAATAAATGAATCTGCCTTTCTTTACTTGTTGGAGTTTTCTGCAAGCCTCATGCCAACTTCTCGTTTGTTTTCAATAGATTGCGAGTATGCAGGATCGTGTATGTATAGCCATCCTCTTGGCTTTGATTTTCTTCAATTTTAGTATGCTTCTATAGTTGTTAAAATTGGTACATGGTTTCTTCAATATATGTCTTCTTTACTTAGTTTGATCAATGCATCAAGGGTTAAAATCAGTAGTGAGTTGCTGTCCATAATGCCAACATGAAATTATATTCTTGTTCCACAGGCTTGGGGCTGAATCTGAACAATGAAGAACAAGATAAACCTGTCTGGTCCCCTACTACGGCGGGCAATTTCACTGTGACATAGGCATGGAATATTTGTAGGCACAAGGGTATTGACAGCACAGATTTTAACAAAATATGGCATAAAGACATCCCTTTCAAAATGTCCTTCTTAACTTGGAGAGCCATTATTAACAGACTTCCTACAGATGCCAAGATTGCAAGGCTTGGTATCCCTTTATCTCCCACTTTCTATTGTTGCACTAACAATAATATTCCTACCACTCTGGAAAGTGCAGAACATATTTTCTATGCAGGTGAACACGCAAAGAAGATTTGGAGACTATATGCAACGCCCATTGGGATAGAGTACACCAACATTAATTTGAAGAACCTACTAAAAAATGGTGGACTAAGAAAGTCCTCAATCCGGTGGCATCATACATCACAAGAGGGTTGCCCATGTTTATCTGTTGGGAGTTATGGAGGAGCAGATGCAATCATAAATATGAAACAATTAAGCCCTCTGTGTATAGATCAAAAAGAAACATTACTAACATTTTGTTTTTCACTTTGCAGTCAAATTTTGACAGGATTAAAGTTGAGAACTCTTGGGAGAACATTAACCAAATATTTGACGTCTCTATTAATCATAAAAATGCCATAAGAGTGAATTGGATCAGACTACCAACTATGTTTGCTAAACTTAATACTAATGGATCTTGTGTTAATGGCAGGTGTGGTGGAGGTGGAATTCTGAGGAACGCCTTGGGACAAGTCATCATGGCCTTCACTATAAATCTTGGAGAAGGAACCAGCAGTTGGGCTGAAGCCATGTCCATGCTACACGGAATGCAACTATGCATACAAAGAGGAGTAAATATGATCATCGGAGAAACAGACTCCATTCTACTTGCTAAAGCTATCACTAAAAGTTGGAGTATCCCTTGGAGAATGTACATCCCAGTTAAGAAGATTCAAAAGATAGTTGAAGAGCATGGTTTCACCATCAATCACTGCCTTAGAGAGGCAAATCAACCTGCGAACAAACTTGCTTCAATTAGCCTCTCAACTGATGTTAACCAAGTCTTCAACTCTTATACTAATCTTCCTAGTCTTGTTAAGGGCCTTGTAAATTTGGATAGAATGAATTTGCCCACCTTCAGATCAAAAAGAACAAAGGATGCCAACCTTATTTTTGAACCTCCTTAGATTAGTAGCCAGTGACTTCCACTGGCCTTTGTACAGCCTTATTTTTTACTAAGTGCTCATTAAGCATCGAAGGTACAAGTTTGGTATGACAAACTTCAAAGTGTGTATCCTTATCTCATCAATGAAAGGCCAGCTTTTGTTTTAAAGAAAAAAAAAAATTACAGGGCCAAAAAAAAAAAAAAAAAAATATTCTTGTTCCCAACTTGAGTCATGGCTGCTCACTTCTTATTGTCATATTTGTTTGAAAAGCTCACCTTTGTGAAGAATACTTCTTTGGATAAGTCCTATCTGCTACCTTTGTTCAAGTGTTTTTTTTAGATGGCATGAGTGTCTTTTTTCCAAATTACTTAAGCTATTGATTGTAAGTTCAGCTAGCAGTTTAAGTTTGTTTGGTTTTTGGCTATCTCTCTTAGTTTATTTAGAAAAGGAGACTGAATACTTTGGTTAATTGACAGAGCTCCAATTCTACAGCTCAAACTTCTTTGCAACAAAAGATAAACAAGGAATAGGAGAATTTGTTATCTGGATCTTTCCTCCTTTTCCAGCTTTTACTCATTGTTTCTGTTGTACTTTCTTAATTCACAACTTGCCTCAACAGAATGCCAAATTTCCTACTTGAGAGGAAAGGACAAGTAGCGACACAGGCAACTTTCTGTCTGGTTGGAATTTGGATGAAACCATTACTCAACAACAATATTATCAAGGTTGGCAAACTTCATTCAAGCTAATTTCATCTCAAATGATGTTTTGGAATAATGTTGCTTGAAACTCTGGGTAATCGTGGACAGTTAACAAGTGAGCACTTCTATTGATATTAGATATGAAAATCTCTACAGCAGGTCATCATAGAATGTTAGTCATTGGTGCCTTTATTCACCCGTAATAGAAGCTGGCTGTTATACTGATGAAGTTACTGTCTTAACTCTTAAGCATATTATTTTCTAATGACCTATCTGAAGAGATTACGGAAAAATGCATAGGATTAATTGGTTTTCTTGATAAGTTAAATGTGGAGGACTAAAATTGAATAGAAGCAATAAAAATTGAATAACAATTATAGAGTTCATTTTTCTTTTTTGATAATGGTAACAATCTATATATTAACACGTATACTATACCAATTGTACTGCAGTCCCCCAAAAATAATAAACAATTACAAAAAAAGGAGGCCTATCTATATTTATTCTTACCGTTGTCCAAAACATCTAAAAATATCTTCTGTTTTTGTTAAACATTCCTATTTACACCAAGGCCTTTACCAAGCTCTGTAAAATGTTACTCTCTTTTCGATGATGGAACCTTTGAAGTCTTACTAATTTGTTATGTGGAGTTTGAATATTTGGTTTAATAAGCTGATAAGGTTACTGGGTCGATTACTGATTTAGAAAGAATTGAAGATAAGAGAGTCTTGTTGTGGTAAAATGTGTGGAGTGTTTACTGGGTCGATTACCGTGTGGATTTGCCATCGTCTAGGAATATTTACTTTCAAGTTGGGTTTATTAACAAAAAGCTTGAAATCAAACAGTTTGAAACTCCTCGTTCTTGCCAGGACAATGCTTTGGCCTTGTGTGGAGGAACCATCTCTGAGACAGGTGATTTTCTAGTTTGATTTATTGTTTTTCTAAAATTGTATTAAGATATACTTTTTTTGAAATAGATTAAGAGAAAATGCATAAAAAGCGCTCAGATATACTTGATTAAGTTGTATAAGGCAATAACAATCTTTATGAGTTTTTACCATTTATATTCTCTGGTCTCGCATATATCAACATGTTTTTTCTCTTAATATTGAAATTGTTGTGTAAAATATGAGTGAGCCCTGTATGGAATAAATACTTGTGTAAAGGGAATTGAAAATTTGTTGTTTTGCATACCAACGCTTGCAATAGTCTGGCAAGATTGTCTATATGGTTCTATACTAAAACACTGGCACCTAAAATGCACAAAGAAGCAGCAGATTCCTAGAAGCAGAAATTAAGATTAATAAAAGAAAAATTGGACTTGAGGGGTTTGGAAGAGAGGAGGTTGGAAGGAACATAACAACAATCTTTAATGGGGTCCTCTATAGAGGTGCCCTAAACAACTAAAGAAGAAAGGGAAAGGAGAGGGGAGTATTACATGGAAAAATGCGGTTTCTTTTGACTGGCTTTGACAGAGCTCTTGGTTTACTCATTGTTTTACTCATTGTTTTTTGTCTTGGACTCTTGGTTTACTCAGTGTTTTTTGTCTTGTCTCTTTGACTGGCTTTTGACAGAGCTCCAATTCTACTGCTCAAACTTCTTCGCAACAAAAGATAAATAAGGAATAGGAGAATTTGTTATCTGGATGCTTCCTCCATTCCCAGCTTTTACTCATCGTTTCTGTTGTACTTTCTTAATTCACAACTTGCCTCGACAAAATTTCCTACTTGAGAGGAAAGGACAAGTAGCGACACAGGCTGTTTCTGTCTGGTTGGAATTCGGATGAAGCCATTACCCAACAACATTATTATCAAGGTTGGCAAACTTCATTCAAGCGAATTTCGTCTCGAATGATGTTTCAGAATACTGTTGCTTGAAACTTTGGGTAATTGTGGACAGTTAACAGCTGAGCACTTCTATTGATATTAGATATGAAAATCTCTATAACAGGTCATCATACCGTCCTTGAACATTGGTGCCTTTATTCACCTGTAATAGAAGCTTGTTGTTATACTGATGAAGTCACTGTCTTAACTCTTACGCATATTATTTTCTAATGACCTATTTTCTTAAGATGGATGTTGGGGGCCCTCAAGGCACGACGCCTCGAGGCAGGAGGGGGGGCTAGGAGGCCTCGGGGCACGACGCCCTTGGCTAAGGGTGGGGTAGGGTTGGGGAGCCTCGGGACACGACGCCTCGATGCTAGGAGGTGGGGTGGGGTTA